GCAGAGCAGGCCAGAAGCAAAAATCAGATTTTGGAGCCATTTTGTCTGGGTGTAAATGGCACATCCATGGAGGGATTGGCCCTAAACTTACCCATCTGCCTTTGGGAGGATGAGGAGCTGTGATTTTCCTTGGGGAAGGATGTTGGAAGGGCTGGGGATGATGGGAGGCCCTGTTGCTGGGGATTTTGTGAATAGGTGTGCATGGCAAAGCCCAGGACTCCTGCACTGAGTCTGCTACAGGAACTCTGGGGGAAAACAATCTGTGTGTAGGGAGGTGCTGGTGTGATTTCCCGTTCACATTCTGGGAATTGAGAGTAAGGGGAGGAAGCAGGCACGGGAAGGAGAGCTCCATAGTAAACACACCACGAGTGTGATTCTGTCGCCAGCTGAAACCAAGGAACGAGTTATTTTCAGCCTCCTTTCTGTGGCAAATGCCTTTTTATTGTCTGCACTGAGAGTGGGGATGGAGCTGTGCAGTGAGGAAGGCTCAGAGCAGAGTGGGAGCTCTGCCGGGAGCACAGCGGGACAGCCCTGCCAGGAGTTTGGGGTCTGGTGCATTTGGCTGGGAGCTGTCCCACAGGAGGAGTGGCTGGGGACATCCTGAGCCACTCAGGGCTTTGAAGGCCACTCACCTGCCCTGTTTAGGGACATCTGGGATGGAATCCCAGGCTGGTTTGGGTAGGAAGGGACAGTAAATCCCATCCCATTCCACCCCAGGTGGGCAGGGACACCTCCCACCATCCCAGGGTGCTCCAAGCCCTGTCCAGCCTGGCCTTGGACACTTCCAGGGATTCAGGGGCAGCCCCAAGTGCTCTGTTCCTGCCGGTTTAATGCCATGTGTGTCCATAAGCTGGGCCATCTGCTCATCTCCTGCTCCTCAGAAGCCTCCTGTGACCCTCTGGGAGCCTATGGATCTCAGGAAGGGCCTGCTGGAATGGCACTGATGTGTCCTGACTGCGCATGGGTTTGGCCAGGACACCAGGAGGAATTTCTTCACATTAAGGGAGACTGGATATTGGAAGGGGCTGCCCAGGGAGGTTTGCAGTCCCCATCCCTGGAGATGTCCAAGGAAGGCCTGGACATGGCACTCAGTGCTCTGGGCTGCGGACAAGAGGGAAACGGGCATTGCTTGGGCTTGGTGACCTTGGAGGGATTTTCCAGCCTCAATGAACCTGGGATTCTGTGGGGATTAAAACCCAGCAGCAGTGGGGGAGATGGGGCCAGGAGACGAGTTGCCCATCCAAGGAAGCAGAGCTGCCCTCGGGACACTGGATAACTTGGAATTCCCATCCCTCCATTTAAAGGGCATAGACCCTGCACCAGTGAGGTACTGAGCTGGCAGCAGGCCAAGGGCAGATGAGATTTCCCTCAGAACTCCCAGAAGGTGAGATTCTGTTTGGTTTGTGCTGATTTTGTCTCTCTGTCCCGCAGTGGTTGAACCAGAGCCACAACGCGTGTGTGAACTATGCAAACCGCAACGCGAGCAAGGTGAGCCAGCTTTCACTGCCAGGGTGGGGGTGAAAAACACCCCTGGATCCTGATTCCAGGGTGAGGGTGACAGTGACAAACCTCTCTGATTCCTGACTTCAGACAGTGNAGGGTGGGGATGAGCTCCCAGCATTTGGAGTGAATGGATGGAGTTAAAGAGTTGCTCAACCTTTGAATTTCGTGGGGTTTTGCAGGCAGGAAACACCTCCAGTAATGTGGAGAGCTCAGGGCACAGGGAGGGAGGCAGGGATGGCAGGGCTCTCTTATCTGGCTGGGAATTCTTTGTCCTGGCTGTGTTTGTGGGGCTGGTCCTTGGGATCCCCTTGTCTGCATCCTTTTCCTCTTCTTCAGCTTCTTGTGGCCTAAACCAGGAAAAAATTGCTTTAAACAAGAAAAACTGCCTTAAACCAGGAAACATGGCTCTAAAACAGAAAAATGATCCTAAAACAGGAAAAAATGGCCCTAAAGCAGGAAATGTGGGCCAAAAGGAGGAAATGTGGCCCTAAAACAGGAAAAAATGGCCCCAAAACAAGTAAAATGGCTCTATAGCAGGAAAGATGGCCCTAAAGCAGCAAAAATTGACCTAAACCAGTAAAAAATGGCCCTAAAACAAGAAAAATGGCTCTATAGCAGGAAAAATGGTCCCTAAAGCAGGAAAGATGGTCCTAAGAAAAGAAAAACTGCCTGAAACCAGGAAAAATGACCCTAAAGCAGGAAAAACCTGCCCTGAACCACTAAAAAATGTTCCTAAACCAAGAAAAATGGCTCTATAGCAGGAAAGATGTCCCTAAAGCAGGAAAAGTGCCTTAAAGCAGGAAAAAAGGCCGTAAAACAAGGACTGAAAGCAGGAAAAATGGCCCTAAAACAAGAAAAAAACTGCTTTTAACCAGGAAGGCTGGCCCTAAGGCAGGTATTTGGTGTGTCAGGGATGGGATTTGCAGAGCTGTGTCCCTGTGGTGCTGTCAGACACAGCCCAAGGCCACCCCAGGCCCAGGACACACCTGTGTGGCCTCAGGTGCTGCCAGGAGTGACCTTGCAGAGCCTCTGGTGTCCCAGTGCAGGCCCCAGCAGGGAACATCTGGCCAGATGTGCTGGGCTGGGCTGCCCCAAGCCTTGGGGGGACAGTGAAACACCAAAAAGGATGAATTAATTAAAATAAATCTGATTTAAATAAACCCCAGGCTCCCAAAAAGGAGCAAAGTGCTCCCAGGTGGTTCTGCTGCCCTCAGATTCCAGTGGAATTTTTCCTGGCGCCCCAAAGAGGGAATGTGCCAAAGAAAAATGAGAATCCCCTGTTCACTACCAGTAGTGACAGCTTTGAACTCTTGCCTCCATACAGGGTTTGTGTCTCCCTCCAGAAACACCTGGATTAGGGAATTCTTTGCGTTTTCATGGGGTCTTTGGGCAGTGCCAGCTGCCAGGGGATTTTCAGGGTGTATCAGGAGCAAGTGATTATTAATTATGGTAATTAAAGGTGCAGAGCTCTCAGGGGCTCAGTGACATCAGCCAGTTCCACCCCTGGAAAACAGAGAGACAGGAGGCTGATAATGACTGGGATGACAAAAATAACAGGAATGAAATAGAGCCAGAAATCAGGATAATTTATTCAAGTCCCTGGAAATCAGCTTGGCTGTTTGCATGCCTGGAGAAGCACAGAGAGCAAAGCAGGGATGCTTTAATAATGAGAGAATCTCTCCTCTTGCAGGTTGTCGGTCTCCTCCTGCCCAACCAGACCCTGGCCTCCACTGTGTTTTGGCAGGTGAGATCCTTGGGAAGGGTGGGAATGTGGGGAGATGTCTCTGTTTGAAAAGCCAGGTGGCTGCTGAGGAAGGCAGGAACCTCCCTTGAAATGGAAAATGTAAATCCCCTCCCTACAAATTATTATAGTTTTGAAATTAAAGGGCTCTCAGGGAAAGGTATGGGAATAGGAATTAGAATTCTTTATTAGGAAAAAAATAAAAAATACAAATGCAATAGTACAAAACAACCCTACCAGAGTGAGACCATGCCCTGCCCCCCTGTGTGTCAGGGTGGTGTCCCAGCCCCATCCCATGGGGGCTCAGCCCTCCTGCAGTGCCAGCTGTGGCTCTGCTGCAGCAGGGATCCTGCACAAGGGGGGAGTTTTCCTCTGCAGCTCCAGGGCTGCTGGAGATGGGCCTGGGCTCCCTCT